GCTCGTGCCTCACGGAGTTCAAGCGCTACCTGGCCGAGCTGGCGCGCTCCATCCGCGCCGCCGCCGCCGACATGGCGCTCGGCCTCGTGCATCCCAGGTACCTTACGTCTGTACCTCGCGCGTGGCGCGCGTGTGGTACACGCACTCGGGCGCGCTGCTGCGGGAGCTGCGCTCGTGCCTCACGGAGTTCAAGCGCTACCTGGCCGAGCTGGCGCGCTCCATCCGCGCCGCCGCCGCCGACATGGCGCTCGGCCTCGTGCATCCCAGGTACCTTACGTCTGTACCTCGCGCGTGGCGCGCGTGTGGTACACGCACTCGGGCGCGCTGCTGCGGGAGCTGCGCTCGTGCCTCACGGAGTTCAAGCGCTACCTGGCCGAGCTGGCGCGCTCCATCCGCGCCGCCGCCGCCGACATGGCGCTCGGCCTCGTGCATCCCAGGTACCTTACGTCTGTACCTCGCGCGTGGCGCGCGTGTGGTACACGCACTCGGGCGCGCTGCTGCGGGAGCTGCGCTCGTGCCTCACGGAGTTCAAGCGCTACCTGGCCGAGCTGGCGCGCTCCATCCGCGCCGCCGCCGCCGACATGGCGCTCGGCCTCGTGCATCCCAGGTACCTTACGTCTGTACCTCGCGCGTGGCGCGCGTGTGGTACACGCACTCGGGCGCGCTGCTGCGGGAGCTGCGCTCGTGCCTCACGGAGTTCAAGCGCTACCTGGCCGAGCTGGCGCGCTCCATCCGCGCCGCCGCCGCCGACATGGCGCTCGGCCTCGTGCATCCCAGGTACCTTAGCCCTTTAGGCTGGTTTTAGAGTCACGCTGACCGTCAGCGCTGACAGCCGAAATGTATGAAGCGTCGGCGCCGAGCGATCAGCGTCACTCAGGAACGTTTCCTTCAAACACATATTGATCTGTCAGCGCCGACGATCAGCGAGTGACCAGCGCGATTCTAAAACCCGCCTTAACCTTCCAGGGTTAAAGTAGAATCTAGAGTACGGGACTATTCTCATTTCCACCGCTGCAACTCCTGTGTAGCCAGGATCTACAACTTAACCGCCAACAAAAACCCAACCATTGAAAGTCAAGCTTGTTCCGGGGGAGTGTTAAACTGTCATTGAACCCGCAACAAAATTAATCAAAAGAATATAGGAGAATTTCGAAGTTCTAGAATCGGGAGTAGGTAGTAACCATTAGGTATGAATTCGATGAATTAGCCCACCCACGATCGTAAATATTGTTTGATATCTTCCAGGGGCGACTCGCTGTACGCGAACCCGAAGCTGTCGCAGTCGATGGAGGGCGTGTCCCCGCGCCGGCGCACCGTCAGCCTGGGCTGCTCGCTGGACGAGCCGCCCGACATCCGCCCCGAGCAGATCGTGCTGAGGTGCGTACATCATCATAGCATATTGCTAAAACAATACATACAACCCGATCGAGCTGACTGCACACTTTGCTGGAATGGGACTCTCCCTCGCACTCACCCGCACATCTCCCCGCGTTCGCCCCGTCCGTACCGGAGCGTCGATGTGACGTCACAGCTGCCAAGTGCACAGTTAACTCAATCGGGTTGTAGATGTCGACCTTAACCGACCCTTAGCAGGGTTACTTCTCGCCTAACATTTTACTAAAACCCGGTCTGTGAGCACGTAGAATTTTGTCCAATGACCCCTAGCTACCCATCCTTATCGCTCGCGCATAATTATATTGCTGTCGCGACTGTGCGACTGGCACCCGCAGTGAGTGTGCGAGCGCGATAGCAACATAATTACGTGGATAAAATTCTACGTGCTCACAGACCAGACTATAACTTTTATAGATGATAATACAAGGAGAGGAGTGACCCCACTTTCGAGTCCATTTGTCTTCGTAAATCATTGTTTTCATTTCATTTTGAGTGAGCAATAGTTGACTGACGACCTCATAAAGGTAGCCGTGGGATGCAGGTAGCTACTAACCGAGCGATGTGGAAATCATTGGCCTATGTTCAGCAGTGGACGTCCTGTGGCTGAAACGATGATGAATAGTTGATTTGATACATTGATATTGCGTGTGCAGCGTGAGCGTGGAGCTGGAGTCGCCGGTGGTGGTGCTGCCGCGCGCGGCGCGCAGCTCGGCGGTGCTGGTGGCGCACCTGGGCCGCATGAGCCTGGCCAACCGCGCCGGCCCGCCCGCGCATGCTGCGTATCGGGTGCGCGTGCGCGACATCTCGCTGGCCACGGTAACTGTTTATGTATTTCTTGGCTTATTCACTTACTTAGGGCCATGCCTGCTCGCCGCGCCGCGTCCGCGCCATTCTATGCTCATACTATTTTTCGATACAGATACGTGTACGTGCGCCCGCGTGAGTTAACGTAAGCCCTTAGCAATCGAGGGACGTAAAAACTCTATTGAAGCCCTGTACAAAATACTATAATATTAGCTTAGATTAATAAAACCTAGATAGATAGTCAGTGCCCGAAAGGTGAGGCAGATTTTAGTAAGCCAGAATGGCTTACTCGTAAACGTCACATGAACTGTCAAAGTGAAAAATTGGTAAACACGTCCGACGACTTTTAATTAATTAAGACGGTTTGTGCTGTGAAAGGGTGTCTAAATACATCAGAAAAACTAAAGAAAGTGACCAGTGTTACATTTCATAAGTAAGTACTACGATTCGACGCGTATTTNCGAAATTACACTTTTAACTTGGTAAGTTCAAATCCTGCCAATAAAAGGTCTTTACAATGAAAAATGCGATGGCGATCTTTACAGTGAAAAAGGGCTGGATGCGAGCGGCGCAGGTCCGGTCTTTGTGGAAATCCTTTGTCCAGCAGTGGACGTCTTTCGGCTGAAACGAACGAACGAACAGTGAAAAAAACTTCACTAATCCTATAACTTGCACCAAACCACTAGTTTACTTTCAAGTTGGGCTATTCAGAACTTCGCTGTCGGCACACCAAGAATTAACTCGGTAATCATTATTTCCTCACAACTATACGAAGAATCCAAGCTTTCAGCATAGTCGTTAAAACCCTAATTGGGTAAGTAATTAAAGGTAACATAAGGAGTCGACTCAAACACTTTATATTTAATGTCTTCATAAACTCAGGAGTTTCATATGCCGCTGTGTTTTATTGAATTAGTTGCTTCTTAATGGATATAAAAAGATGTTTCAGCTCTTTAGCCATTGGTGTAAGGAAAAGTGTCACAATTATAATATGATCCTACTATTCTACTACTGTCTGGATGTCTAGATGTGAACATGTTTGTTACTTTTTCACGCAAAAACTATTGAACGGATTTTAATGAAACTTTACAGTATTATTGTTTATAACCTAGAATAATATAATTTCACGCGGATGAAGCCGCGGGCAAAAGCTAGTACTAATATAGTTCTTGCACATCACGAAGGCGAGTGAGCTTTACGTGTGTAGGTATACATGCACATAACGCTAGTGTAATGTCTATCAAAACTTTTGTAAAACGAACAGTAGCGAGCCACCACACATGTATCTAAAGCTCACTCGCTTTCGTGAATTGCAACAACCTATAAGATGCACCCAAAACTAGCTGTCCCGGCAGACGTTGTCCTGTCTTAAAAAAGTTAAGTAGCCATTAAGTTTACTCAATTTCTTACACGAACCTTCTTTGACAATAACAAACAACAAAAAAGAATTGGATAAATCAGTCCATAGATATTATGTATTTAACTACTTTCACAATATTTATTTTGCCTTATTTTTTATTTATACCCAAAATTGAGTAAAATACGGTCGCCGTAAAACTCTGAAGAGTTGAGTAATCACTCTTCAAAGTTTGTGAAGGAAAACGAGGGAAAAACTCAAACCTAACGTCACATTTTGATGGCCTGCATCGGGCGAAGTTCGGAAGTAAATGGACCTTGGACACTTTAAAATGGACATTAATTTAATTATGAGGAGAGTAAACTGAATTTACGTCAAGGCTGACTGTTTTAAGCCTAATTAGTTTGCCCGCGGCTCCGCTCGCGTCAAACTTTGGATCCCTTTGGTTTCATCCCCTTATTTTGGAAATGGTTAGGTACTCGTCAATAACACAGATATCTAGATGTTAAGGAGCGATTTATTAGTTTTGAATCTTTAACATCTTTAACGACTGTTACTGCTTTTATATTCAAACATACATATCTACATACCATCAGCAATACCTACAAAATACGGTGTGGAATCAAATAACTCTTTCTTATTCTGTTGTTTTTTCGATATCGCATCCCAGAAGACATTCCAGTTTAATTTACTTCAGAATGCCTTTCATGCTGTATCGGATTGGCAGCATTTCATTAACTTTGTTTCAACAAGAAGACAGATCTGTCGATTCTACGCCGGATTCATATGTTTAAAACGTGCTGAAGTTGTTTCCTTACAAAAGAGTAAAGAGCTTCTTTGTAAAATAATTCAGACTCATTGTGTTGGTTGATCCAACCCTTTAGTAACTGAAAGTAGTAGAGAAACATTGATGTTGAAGTTGTTGTGAGATGTTTTGAATCCTATTATTGTTTTTTTGCGAAGCAATGCAATCATTTTTTTAGAGTTCCTGTTTCCTATTCCTATTTAATATCCTACTTTAGCAAAACCCACTTTAGTCTCCTCTGAAGTTGTACGACCCTCTCCTATTTACCACAGGCAATAGCTAAGATTTAGCCTTCACTCCCTACGCTGACTATATGGGTTGCGGAACCATCTCTACATATTTCTCTCTAAGTCACCTCTTTCGGCCTACAGACTGTGGGAGGAAATATTTCTGTTGGATGTTATAGATGCAACTTTGATGAAATAAAACGCGGCCTTATCAGCGCATTACACTTGAAAATTTCGACAGGTTCATCCAGTGTCTAAGTAGCTCAGTTGGAAGAGCAGTCGCCCAGCAAGCGAAAGGTTCGAGTCCCGATTTTTTTGCAGTTCGATTTTTTCCAGTTGTTAATTAAAAATGAGTGGGAGTAGTCCAATTCAATGTTGGAACTACAAGATTAAAAAGCGAAATATCTCTTACCTCTTGTAAACCTGCCATTGCCATGCACCACCACGTGCCTCGGAGCCACGTGGAGCCTCGTGAAGCCTCCCTCGCAGTTCTCCAAATAGCACATCACCTCTTCAGCGGTGTAGTTGTTGCCGTCTATCACGTGGTCGTCGAAGGCTAAGAGCTGGTCTCCGGGATGGAGAGCACCACATCTGGGAAACGGTGAAATTGGTTAAAAGTTTTGTAGGTAGTTTCTTTTGGGAGTCCCCTTGAAATATAAAATTTTCTAATTTCTATAAATTAAATTTTCATTTCATCATGATCATCATCTCAGCCATAGAACGTCCACTGCTGAACATAGGCCTCCATTGGGGGAGGCTTTCCATGTTGCCCATTTTCATTTAACTACTATCTTTTTAACTCATATTCATGCATAATTCTGGAAAGCATATTAGCTGCTTATTTAATATAAGTTGGGCGATATGCGCAGTGTATAAACCGACCACAACTTCAAAAAATAAACTCTGCTTTTAGCAAGTTATACAAAAACTTTGTTAGGTTCTTACTTCGTAGCTACAGAATTTGAAACTTGAGCTTTACAAACATTTAGAGAGTTACGTATTCAGCAGCTAGGCCAAGCTTAATTTTTTAAAAGTATGTAAAATTTTATATTCTCCCAGCCATGATTTTAGTCTACAACTTGGTACACAATTCAAGTTTCAGTGGTTTCAAGTATTGCATTAAATCAAGCTTTTTCTAAAACAACGCAAAATATAATAATATGATTGGCACTAAATAACTCAACTTTTACTTACTGTTGTAAACTAGGTACACAAGAATTTGTTTTATCTACAAAGTTTTCCATTTATAGGTCTAGTTTAGTCATTTTTGAGATAGCAAACTAGTTCTGATGAAAATTTGTAATGACTCACCTATCACTGATACTGGCTGGCAATATGCTGTCAATATAAATGGCGTTGCAACTCCCAACCCTCTGATAAGTGTCCGATCCAGAACTGTACACTTCGTCGGAATACCTCTGATTGGTCAGGAATATACCCAGATCTTCGTTGCAGGGTCTTTCGATCTCAATGAGTAGGGGACCAGTCGCCAACTTCACTGATTCCATGATGGAGACATCGTACTCTATCGTAAGGCTGGTCACTTGTGGACAGTTCTGGAGGATTTGGTGGACTTCTGATAGTGTTTTGTTGGTCAGCGATATCTGTGGAGAAGAATTTGGTTAAATCAATGTCGAATACCGATTGTGATGTCTTGGGGAAGGATTAATTGTTCACTGTTGAATGCTAATTTCAACTTCTTTTCAACTGAAAAAGGAGGATCTATTTTCTTTTGTATTTTTTTATATTATTATGTATTTACTCCGTCAATAAATTGTGGGCTAATTTAAAAATTATTTTTTGTTCGATAGGGTACACTTCTGATGAGGTCCCATTGTCACCAAATCAGGAGCTGATGATGGGATCGTTGGGAAATTGAAGGCAACCCCTAATTTTATAGGGACTTTATTACTTTATTCTTAATTGACAAAAAAGTTTCCAACACTCACATGGTCGACCTTCAGTAGCCTGTCTCCCGGTTTAATCCTAGATGTGTTGTATGCCGCGCCTCCTGGCCTGACGTGGGTCACCACCAAAGGCTGGGCATCCAGCGACCTGCTGTTCAGGACCAGGTCTGCGCTTGGAGCCGAGTTCTCCGGCAGACCACCCCTGATGGTGATGCCAAGAGAACCGTTGATCTTCTCCACTGGCACCTCTGCTAGCTTCGTTGTGATGTACAAGGAGTTTTGGGAGGCTGAAAAGAAAGTTATCGTTAGCACTTTGGCAGTGGACCTCATATGAGTTACATTTTTAGAGAAAAAATATTAAATATATTTGGACAATTTCACACATTGCCATCTAGCCCCAAAGTAAGCAACTAATATGCTTGTGTTATGGGTGCTAACTTAACGGATATACTACTTATATACTTTTAAATGCATAGGTACATAATTATGTATAT